CCAACTGTGAAACCTCTGGAACACCTTTTATTCCCTTCAAAGTCTCTACCTCCTTCCCCCAGCTATTTGCAGGAACCCCTGGGGTTCTGTTATTGTATACTCGCAAACAAATCCTTTGAGCTAGCAAGAGGTGCCTCCCACTCTCTTTCCCTCCTTCTCTGATCCTCTTTGGTGATCTGGCACCTGAGCCCTTGCTCTTGCTCTTGCTGGAGGTCCCTTGCCAAGGAACATCTAAGACAATGTCATCCCTTGTTCCAGCCTCCGGCACCACCAGGCACTGCCTCTGGCTGCTGCTGAGGCTATGGGTGATGGATAATGTCAACAAACCACAAAACAAACAAACAAAAACCAAGCCAGACCCCAGCTCTCATTATAACTGGAGTTGTGGTTGGAATCATGGGCTGGAGCCCAACGTGTGTCAAATACCCGATGCCCCAAGGAAGAGAATGCCTCCCTTTCATTATAATCCGAGATGCTTTGGATTTCCAATGACTTCAACAAGCTGGTGAGAAAAGAGTTTATTCAGTTTATTCTATTCATTCTCCCCTTTCCAGGTCTCAAGGACACAGAGGTGGATGAATTGGCTTGGGAAAATACCAGTGACAAACCATGTACTATATTAAGATTTACCTTGCTCTCCAATGGCTGAGACACTTTATAGAACCAAACTTAATATGCAAGTCTTGCTCCACCATTAGGATGGGATCTCTCCCCAAAGGCTACTCAATTCTTATCCAGATAAACATTTCCAGGGCTTGACCTGCCTGCTTGCCTTGTTTACCCAAACAAGTCTAACTGCCAGTGGTATTCTCAGTCTACACCAATGATGAGCTACTAGAGTTCTCAGGATAAATACAGTTAGCCCAGATGGAAGAATAGAAAGAGGACTCTCTTGTGTCATAATTGTTGACTATATGGTAAATTTTAATGCCTAGAATTAAGTGTCAAGTTTCATTTTGGCGTTGTTCTACTTAGTTATGCAGATTATCTTTACCTGGAAGCCTATAACTTACTTTTCCATGGTACTCAATGTACCTGTGATCATTTTGAATTCTGGGAGAAAAATAATGTGTCCCGTTGACAGATTCCTTTTTCTGAAGGTTATTTTTGTATCAAGTTTGCCTACGGCTCATTTAGAACCAAGCTCTGCTCACACCTTTGTATTTTCTCAGAAGATTGGTTCTAATCAACTTGGGAAGGAGGAGAGAAACTTTCAAGACAGAGCTGATTGAAGAGCCTGGTGCTTTCAGAGAGAAGCGTTAAGTAGCTCATGGACAGTAAATGTTCCTCTTCAGATCTACTAGAATTTCTTTCCTTTAGACAGTTCAACTAGATTCTCACCCCTTTTAAAGTTCAGATCACCAGCCTGGATAAAAGAATCACAGAATTTTTTTCATTGTATGGAAGAAAATGTATCCTGAAAGTAATATACTTTTATTTTTAATTAAGCACCCTTTAGTTGTCATTAAGAATGAAACAATTGATTGAGGGCAAGTTAATTTTCTAAAGTTAATTTTTCTGTAGAAGTTGAAAAGATTGTTGAAAATAACCCCTGGATGATATGCTTGTCATCAGGTATCCCCAAATGCCTATAATAGCACCTAGGACACAGCAGGTTCTCAATAAATAAATAACAAACAAATAAATAATCAATAAAAGCATGGATAAGTGAATTTCAGGATTTATAAAGAGATGTAACTGTTTTAATTTAGTAAGATTCATAGCCTGGGGTCAGCTCTGAGTTCCGTTTTGCTTCTTTACTTTTTCAATCTGAAGCTGGTTAAATGTCATTTAGGACCTTACACAGGTGTTTCAAGTCTTTGTCGTTTCTCAGTTTGCTTGTGTAAAGTGCAAGTTTTGGACAAGAAAGCTCTAAGATTCCTTCAAGCTCTATAAGGCTAAAATTTTCAATTTCAAGGCTTATAAGTACTAATCACCTGAAATCAGCAAATCTGTGCAACTTGAGTTGCCCCTTGAAAAAAAAAAAAGAGCAGGTTGCAAATTGCTTCAGGTCCACTAGGGGGCAGGTGCTGGGACACATCTGTGGTTAAGAATGACTAGAAATACAAAACAGTACCACATGAGTTACTGTGGCATAGATATGCAAGGTGTGTGACACTTCACACTTGCACATCACAAAATATTTTACAAGCAGGAAATATTGATCCTCTCTGGCCCATAACAGAGGCTGTGGTATACTCTGAGCAAATGACTTGCTCAAAAGCACAGAAATTTCACCAAAAATGCGGTCTCAGACTCCAACATCCTGTCTCTTAATTTTGAACAGTGACCATCACTCAGCTGAATTACAGCACGATGGAGGCTGAAAGTTGTTGGGAAACCTAGAAATTGGGTCACCCAACTGGGGCCGTAGACTGAGCAACTACCTCCTTCATTTTACCTCCTTCAACACAAGTCAGCCACAGAGCAGACTGAGGAGCCGAGCTGGAGGTGACCTTCAGGGTGGCTTCCTTTGGAGGCACTCAGAAAGAATTTTTAAAATCAAAGAAGAAAACATCTTGAAAAAATTGGCTGCTGGTGGAACTGTCTCTTCCAAGTTGACATCATCAATCAACCAACAGTGTAGGAGAACTGTCAAATTCCAGCAGCATGAGGGACAAGAGAAATCGTCAGACACCTGAAAAATGGAAGGCTGCTCCATAGCACAGCTGGAACTGGTGGCTATTATTGGGGGGGGAGACAATTTAATGGGGTTGGGGTAGGAAAGGAGAGGGTGTTCGGTGTGTGTGTGGGAAACCCCATCAATTAAAATGTGCCTGATTCATAATTTTCTCTATTTCTCAGCAGAATAACTTTCTGCCCTCCCTTCTGCATTGTGCACAACTATCTCAAAATTCATTTTTCCGCTGTTATTCATACTTCAGTTTGGTGTTTCTGAATGTATTCTTCCTCACAGCAACTGTTGACAGGTCCAGCCCTGTAACCATCTGGCTCCTGAAGTAATGAGACCAAATGAAATGGAGCTTGAAGAAATTAACATTCTTTCCTTAATCTATTAATAACTGAAAAGTGTTGATTTTGGTGACAGCTAGATACTTTATTATGAGGCATATTGGTTAATTAAAGCATCATAATGAAGGTTATAGGAATGCATATCCCTCCAGAAATACACATATTTTTAATAAGCATAATTTGATTCTTCTCACAGGCTCAAAAAAAGTCAGTGAAAATGTTATGCACAAAGAAAATCTCAACAAAGGATAAACAGACAATTTTGTACGTATGTAGCATGATTATTGTTGTTTTATTATGTTAAGTGTGCCTGTGTATATCAAATATAGCTGCTGTGTATCAATAGAAGTTGCAAATAATTACAGGTTTTCCAACTCCATCGACCTACTGTCCCTTAATTCTTCTTCCCCCATCTATTTACTCTCAGATGATATTTGCAGCTTTGTAGGGTCCTTATTGGGGTAAGGAGATCCTCCAATTTTGCCAAAGTTGAAAATGCATAGACTTTTGATATTTAGATCATGGATGATGAGATTTCCTTTCTTTCTTTGATGTTTTGCAAACATTTTCTTTATGTCCGTAAAAACTTTACAAAAACAATACTTTACTGCACACAGAGCTGTCCTTAATCACAGACTGGGTATTTCATCTTTTTCCCTTACCTTTCCCTCACATTGAGCTCGGAGACATTCTGGGTTCCCCTTGTTGCTGTGTTAATGTATAGCCACAGTTAGTCTAAGAAGTTACCCCCAAATCTCATCAAGAAATTATTTTTTCAGTGTTTACAGTCTTTGTTCAACTTTCGTGTATCTATGTATGCACTTTTTAGGGAAGTTCAGTATCATTTTTTATCCTTGACTGGTATCCCATTAAAAGAATACCCACAAAAACAAAAAACAAAAAACAAACCCACAAGTAAATTCCCAAGGTTTTCTCTGCTAAGAAATTAAATGATGTATGTGTGCGTTTTCATGGCACGTTTGCTGCACTATTTCCTTCTTGTTTTCCCTCTCATTTTGCCATTGTCTTTCCACTAGTTAGACACAAAGTCCCCAGGGAATAGTGGATTTTTTCTCTCTTGCTATTTCTCTCCCAGGACAGACCATACAAGATTGAGTGGAAAAGTAAGGTAAAGGTCTAGATAATTCAGGCAAAAACTGGTTAATGACAATCAGGCGTCTGTTTTCCTACTTTGGGCCTCAATTACCTACTTTGGTTGTCAAAGTTGGAAAATTACTGAACTGGGATTAGAACTTTAGTATAAATATTGACTTTCTGAACAGAGAGAATGTACTTCCTCCTGGTTTTCCTATTTTCTTTGTTGGGCTCAGTCTCCCTTTGAGTTCTTCTTTCTTATTATCCTGACACCTCGTTTCCCTTTTCTTCCCCATCCTCTGTATTATTGATGCCAGATGAGCATCAACACCTTTGTATAACCGCACCCTCAACATTAGACTCTGCAGGCACGTGGGGAACACACATCATTCTGTGATAAGCATGTCAGTTGATCACTGATGGGTGCTTATCCCTGTTTGTTTTGAGAAGTAATTCTATTTTCCAAAATACAGTTCAATTGCATTATTAAGCAGAATCACAGAGTCAACTTTACATGGGCTATAGAGTACTCTGGTGGCCCTTCTAGAATCCCCAGCCAGAGCTTTGCATATCAGGATCACCAGGCTGAGGGACTGGAAACAGATTCAAGGCTATTGTGAGGTCTGTCAATCCTTATCTGCTGTGGCCACAGTGAGGTCTGATTCCAAAGCAAGGGCAGAGAATTCTCCATCTCACACCCTGAACTGGGAGCCAGAAAACTCTTAAGGCAAAGTCAAAAACCATGACAGCTAGGTCAAGGTCATGCTTAGTAGATTTCACACCCAAAATTGGAATACTAGTGCTCAATATTTCTTTCAGAAGATTGGGGATAAGTAAAAATAATGAAAACTTTGCTGGAGGCACTCAACGGTGGCCACTGTACAGACCAGACCTTCCCAGTTCCCACACCTTGCTTGGCTTCCTCTGCAACCATGTCTGACAAACCTGGTATGCCTGAGATTGAGAAATTCGGTAAGTCAAAATTAAAGAAGACAGAAACGCAAGAGAAAAATTCACTGCCTTCAGGAGAGACGACGGAACAGGAGAAGCAAGCAGAGGAATCCTAAGGAGGCGCCACAGATACATGCACTCTCCATTCCATCAGCATTGCCTTCTCACTTTACTTCCTTTAGCTGTTTAACTTTGTAAGATGCAAAGAGTTGGATCAAGTTTAAATGACTGTTATCCCTTTGTACATCAAAGTATGGAGAACCGACCAGGAAGGCCACGCCTGCCTCTCCCATCTGCCTGTCCGGCTGGCAGGGAAAGAAAAGAACTTGCATGTTGGTAAAGGAAGAAGCTGGGTGGGATGACCATGAAATCGAGGGTAAAAACCAAGCCAGTCCCAGGTGCTCTGCAGGCTGTCAAATGCAGTGCAGTTAGAGTGCCTTTTTTTTTTTCTCAAATGATTTTAATTACTGGAATGCACAAGGTTTTTTTTTTATTCTTATGTTAATCCCCATAAATTACATCATTAGTTTTAGATGTAGTGTTCCATGATTCATTGTTTGTGCATAACACCCAGTGCTACATGCAGAACGTGCCCTCCTCAATACCCACCACCAGGGTAACCCATCCTCCCACCCCCCTCCCCTCTAGAACCCTCAGTTTCTTTTTCAGAGTCCATTGTCTCTCATGGTTCGTCTACCCCTCCGATTTCCCCCGCTTCATTCTTCCCCTCCTGCCATCTTCTTTTTTTTTTTTTCCTTAACATATATTGCATTATTTGTTTCAGAGGTACAGATCTAAGATTCAACAGTCTTGCACAATTCACAGCGCTTACCAGAGCACATACCCTCCCCAGTGTCTATCACCCAGTCACCCCATCCCTCCCACCCCACCCCCCACTGCAGCAACCCTCAGTTTGTTTCCTGCAATTAAGAATTCCTCATATCAGTGAGATCATATGATACATGTCTTTCTCTGTTTGACTTATTTCACTCAACATAATACCCTCCAGTTCCATCCACGTCGTTGCAAATGGCAAGATCTCATGGAATGCACAAGTTTTTAATATGCAAATAAAAAGTTTTAAAACCTGGGGGGGGTGGGGCAGAATTTTGTTGGACAAAGTTGTATCTAAATCAGTGACCCCTCGATCAATGACAGAGAGTGGACTTAAGAATAATCCAAAGCTACTCTTGTCTTTCTTTTAGTTATGCTTTTAAATGGGTCCATTCCTCTCACACAAACACTGTCACTGACAGGGTATAAAAGTTCAGCATCAGGCACAGCAACCTGTCTGGGAGACTTCCAGCTTTTCCATCCTATTTTTTTCTTTTCTTTTTTTTTTTTTTTTTTAAGATTTTATATATTTGATAGAGACACAGCGAGAGAGGGGACACAAGCTGGGGGAGCGGGAGAGGGAGAAGCAGGCTTCCCGCGGAGCAGGGAGCCCGACGCGGGGCTCGATCCCAGGACCCTGGGATCGTGACCTGAGCCGAAGGCAGACGCCCAACGACTGAGCCACGCAGGTGCCCCTCCATCCTATTTTTCTACTAGCATCAGATATCACCTACTTTAGACCTTCTTGGCTTTCCTATCTCTTAGCTTCTACCCCTGGTCCTAGCTGCTGCTGTCTTCAGTTCTCTGTCCTGACAATCCATTTAGACACCCATCTCTGGTTTGAACCCTCAGTGCTACCTTTCAGTCAATATTTTATTATTTTCTGGTAGCACCCTAAGCACATACAGCTAAGGGTAAGAAATGTTTCTGCTCTTGAATAAACCTTAAGAAGATTTATACCTACCCCACTGGGTAGTTGATTCAGGTAGCATTCCCTATATATCTGCTTTAATTCCAGACTGAAAATATTACTTTACAGTTTGTTTAGATCTTCAAAAATAAAAAGAACCATGTAGTGAACATAAGGCTTTTATAGGACTTGCAGATGGTTTGGGACACATGGTAAAACACCAATGTATTCCTATAAATGTTTTCCTTATTCCTAAGGTGAAGTGGAAACACACTTCATTGTGTTACAGGTGAAACAAGGCCAATGGAAGTCTGCTAATATTAGGGTAGAAACTTGGGGCCTTATAGGATATAAAAATAGAGTTATGGTTAAGTCTATAAAATTTGTCAAATTCAAGCCACAAAATTTGAGACTGAAGAATTTAGAACAAATTTATGACTATGGAACCAAATGGATTTATTATACTAGAGCCAAATAATTATTTGAGAATAGAATAATACTTCTTAAACATGTAAAACATCACCAATGCTATCTAAATGAGGCCTAAAAATAACTATTAGAACTATTTAGAACTTAGATAACTTTAATTTCTGTTCCACACTACAACTTGTATTTTTCTCAAAACATTTTGCTCTTATTATAGAACAAAGAATATATCCCAATATTATAAATGCATAATTTGAGTTACAAAAAGCATAACATAGCCTTGGCAGGATAGTAATTTACACGATGGCCAGAATGCTTTTTTCTTATTTTCCCTTTTACAAAATAGAATATGCGATATATTTGTTAATTCAAATATGGAAGAGACTAACAGAATTAGGAAACGTATTTAAGTGACATTGTATCATTCTTAAGTATTTGTTTTAAGTTATCTAAATAAGTAACTTTAAGGTGAAATTATCCTTTTTTTAATACTAAGGATTTTTCTATATATTATGAACAGCGTAAGGGGAGAAAGTAATTTTTCCTCTCAGTTCGGAAACTATTCCAAGATCTTGTTTTACTGCAAATTTACATGGTATGCCCTTCTTTCACAAAGTTACCCTTTGGTTCAATTATGTCAATGTCAAATGAATGAAGTAGCGTTATTTCCAGAGTCAACCAGGTTTTTGCTGTACCTAAAACCTTATGATGCTTCAGAAATTTTATTTTCCAAAGGAATGCTAGAAGTCTCACATTTTATACTAATATATACAAGCCTATGTGTCAAGATTCAATCAGGGAAGCCAAGCTCCTATTATCGTAGCAGAAGAGATTTATTCTAAGAATAAGGCTGGACACAAATGTGGAGAAGATGGGCAAATAGGAGGGTCACTGTGCATCTGCTCTGAGGCATTGGTGTAAAGAGGCTTTACCTAGATTCCTTTTGCTAAGGAATCTAGGAAGCCAAGCAGGTCCGGATTCTGGGGTGGGGCCATGAGGGAGGCTTGTGAAGAGGTCCACTTCCACATTCAGAGGAAGGCTGTTGCCTCTGCATCTGCTGAAGTATGTGAGGGTCACCACATGTTCAGAGGGAGAGGGAGGACAAACTGGAATTGCCCACAGCTCTGTCAGGCTCTCAGACTGCCTTCCAGCATGCGAACTTACAGAATGAGGGGAATGCTACTTTCCTGCCACCTTCCAAATTTAATGTGACTTTCTCTTTTGTACCACAAACAAGGAAACATATGATGAAGAGTCTGCTGAGCCTTGTTGATACAATACAAACCACCACAGTCCATTCGGTTTACTGAACACTGTGTGAAGGGGGTGCAAAATCTGGGGTGGGGGTTGCAAAATGCATAGCATACATAGCTCGTGTTTATGAGCAGGACATCCTCTCAAAGGAGAGATCAAATGGCCCATTCAACAGTGTAAGCTATCATTCCATAAAGCATAAGAATAAATGCTACAGCCAAAAAATGAAAATGCTGAAAAAACATTGTTTTAAAAAAGAATGTTTTTCATACCAGTTTCGTTTCCTACTCCCTACTTCCATTCTCTTAATAGCTTTAAAAATTCTATGTAGGAAAAAAAAGAAAAGGGCTACACTATGCAGAGAGAGATCTGAATAGCTTGTCTGATTTCATTCATTAGAACTAAAGAATTCATAAACTTTTATGATTTCAGAATAACCTTCACTATATCACATTTGCAGAACATATGCTCTGTGAGTAAACGTGAACCCATTTTGTTGAAAGAATAATGTCTTTTCTGAGTTTCAAACCTTTTCATTTGTATCCAAGAGAAACAGACTAAGAATCATAAACTGCATTGAAATCTGTTCTATTTACCAGATGGGTAATTTCCAAGGCTCTCCCTTCTTACAAGTACCTCGAGGGAGAGGCACATCCTTTGAGAGAGAAGCAGGAGAGAAAAGATTGGTTTGAATGATAATGAGGCTTGCAAGGAGAGACCTTTACCTTTTTCAATGGGACAGACAGCTTTTTTGATGTCAGTTTAGAACTCCCATTAGCTGTGATAGGAATTATAGGTTTATCAAGAGAAGAATATACCCCTATGGATTAGGTAGCAAAGGTCTCCCTCTTTGAGCTTCATTATTATTACAAAAGCCTTATTCATACAAGGCTAATGGGAGGTAGACACATGCTTCAGAGAATAGATCTCGTGGGATGAAGTACCACTCAGCTAGTTTCTAATTTATGCACATACGGAAAGAGAAAGATTGTTGCTGTGTTTTCATGTAAATTGGTCCTCCTTCTACTATTCATCACCACCACCCTCTTCCCATTCTCTCCCACCCTGGGAAAGCACACCGACAGTCCAGTCATGGTCCTAGGAAAGCCCCCTAGACCTGCCAGATACAACATCTGGGGTGGGGGTTGCAAAATGCATAGCATACACAGTCCTGGGCTGTATGGATTATTCTCTTTTCCTAAGAAAACCAGCCCCAGAGATGTATTTGTAGATTAGATCCTTGGAGCATAATGACCTCCTGATGTTTCAATATTTGGACAACTACAAGTCTCAGTATTATGCTTTATTTGGATTGGGGAATTGGTTGACATTATTTATCAAAATGTGGAAAGCAGTTTGGGAGCATTTCCAAATGACACTCAGGAGAATCAAAATGATTTCTTCTCTTATGGGCCCTGAAGGGAGAGTTCAAAGTTACTAGCTCTTATATAACCACAGTTCCAGGCACCTTGTGGGAAGTGAAGGTGGTGAAGTATTTTGGTATACTGAGAACTTGAGGATGGGAAGTTTACACCTTCTAGAAGATTTTACCAAGCAAAATTCTTTCTTTCCCCACCCCCTTCAATCTCAAAGTAAATGTCTCTGGTTTAAGTGATGTACAATAATAGCAAAGAGGGATCAGCTGGAGAGCACATATCAGAGAGATAGTCAGGACTCACAGAATTAATTGGG